CCGGGCAGCCCCCACCACTCTGCAGTGAGGCCTGACAGAGGATGATCAAAGGGCTTGGCATCATCCCATCAGCTCCCTGATAACTGCTGGGAAGTGGATTTTGACTTCAGTGGCACAGCAGGAAGAAATCTATCTACAAAGCTGTTGGCTGAGAGGGATTACAGTGCAGCAAGGGCTGGGGCAGCACTGGGCTCCTCCTCACTGCACAAGGTGACTGCTGGGTGTGCAGTGTTGGGGAGGGTGAGACCTCTCCTCCCCTTTCCCAGTGCTGGTTTTCTCCCTCACCCACTCTGTTCTTGCTTTGTAAATGATCTCTACAGCCTCACACATTCAAATCCACCTCAGTGCCCTGAGGGCTAAAATGAGGCTGCTGTGCTGAGCTCTCAGTGAACCTCTTGGCACCAAATTGACCTGTTGGCTCCTACCTGCCCAGACTTCTGCTCCTTTGGATCAGGCAGGGCAGCATTTTGCTCCTGACAAGCTCCTTGTTCATCCACACACAGAGCTGCATTTCTTTCAGCCCTGGTGGTGAACCACTGCAGGAATAAGCAGTTCCTTTCCTTCCCAGCTGCCTGCACTCACCATGGCTCTCTTGTAGGTTTGTCTACGTGTGGGACACCACATCCAGGAGGATTCTGTACAAGCTGCCAGGCCATGCTGGATCAGTGAATGAACTGGCTTTCCATCCAGAGGAGCCTATCAGTAAGTCCTCTCACTTCAGCTTAGTAGTTTCGGGGCTGGGGAAGTAATTTCAGTGCTGGCTGAACTGCTGATCCTCCAGAAAACAGCCCCGAAATTGCCAGTGGTCCAGAGCCTCCCTTGTCAGACAATGGCAGAGTCCTGTTTGCTCCTCTCCTGTGGGTGGGAGCACCTTGGGGCTGAGCCCAGGAGCTCTGCCTGTGGGTAGATCTGGGTGGGGGCACCCAGAGAGCAGCAGAGTGGCTCTTGGTCTGGGCTGTGGGTCACCTGTGGGTGGCTGTGAGCTGTGTGTTGGCTGCTGCTGATTAAGGCTAGTCCAGACTTCCCAAGGGCCACGAGGAAAGGGTTTGGGGTGCTTGGGTTTGGTCACCAGGGTTATAACCATGTGTTGGGTGACCACATTGAGGACTGGGAGGGATGTTCCGAGTAGGTTAGGAGTCCCTTCCTAAGTTACCCAAAAGCTGTAGGAAGCAAATCAGAACCACAGTGACAGAATCCTGGAATGGTTTGGGTTGGAAGGACCTTAAAGCTCATCTCATCCCACCCCCTGCCCTGGGCAGGGACACCTTCCACTAGCTCAGGTTGCTCCAAGCCCCATCCAACCTGACCTGGAACACTCCCAGGGATGGAACAGCCACAGCTTCTCTGGGCAACCTGTGCCAGTGTCTCAGCACCCTCACAGGGAAGAATTCCTTCCCAATATCTCATCCAAAGGAAGCTCTTTGTGTAGCAGGTTTAGTCCCCACTCTGAAGCTGTGTGACATGGCACATCAGTGCTGGGTGAGGCAAAGCTCCTGGTGGAGCCATTCTAACCCTTCTGCATTAGCTGGGACCAGGTTTCATTCCCATTTCCTGTGGCTGGGCAAGACCACGGGGTGCTGTGTTTCCATAGAAACCCTCACCTGGGCCATGTCACCAGCCAAAAACAGAGGAGTCAGCCCTGAAGTGAAGCCAAGAGCTGGACTGTGCGAGGCTGGCAGGCTGGGCAGGGAGTTAGGGGTTTGCTCCTGGGTGTTCCTGGCTGGCTGCAGGCTGGGATTGTGCTGGAGGAGCAGAGCCAGCTCCTCTCCAGGTTGGAGCGGGGGGTTGTGGCTGTGTGCTGAGCTCCTCTTTGTGAATCAATCACTCAGCTTAAAATAAAAATCAAAAAACTATTATTAAAGCCTCTCCAGGTGTCACATTATGGAATTGATTTCTGTTAACTCCTGGGAATGTTAATCCTATAAATCACTGCAGCTGCTCCAGGATGCTCACCTGCATGGGAGGGAGCCAAAATGCAGGAAAGAGGCAGACACCAGGCTATGAGCTCATGTAGAACCCCCCAGATCCCTCCTGGACATGGATTACACCATTGCAAGTGTCAAACCCAATTCTTCTGGGTCATTCTTGTGACTTGAATCCTTTTCCTGGGAAAGGGTCTGGAATGTAAATCCTCTGAGGAGCAGCTGAGGGGGCTCAGCCTGGAGAAAAGGAGGTTCAGGGAGGACCTTATTGCTCTCTACAGCTCCCTGACAGGATGTGCAGCTAGGTGAGGTCAGGCTCTGCTCCCAAAGGACAGGACAAGGGGAAACAGCCTCAAGTTGGGCCATGGGAGGTTCAGCTTGGTCATCAGGAAGAATTTCTTCATGGAGAGTTGTAGGGCATTGGAAAGGACTGTCCAAGGGGGTGGTGAAGTCACCATCTCTGGAAGTGTTCAAAAACCCTATGCATGTGACACTTGGGGACATGGTTTAGTGGTGCCCACGGTGGTGCTGAGCTGACAGTTGGACTCAATGATCTCAAAGGGCTTCTCCAATCTGACCCATTCCCTGTCTCTGAGCTAAGGTGGCTCATGGCCTGTGTGGGCTGTGTGCCAGCTCACGTTCCCTGTTCCGTTGGAATGACATCCCAGGGACACTTTCCTGGCCATCCTGTGCCCCGCTGGCTGTGCCCTGCTGCAGCCTGGACCCTCCTCCCGGCGATGAGAATCTGCTCAGGAGCCTCTCAAGGTGTTCATGCACCTCTCCTTGGCACCTCAGTGCTCAGCCACCGAGCTGTGGCACCTCCCTGGGACAGGGACTGGCAGCCACCACACACAGCCTGGGATAGGTGTCAGAGCACTCATTCCCTGAAATGGTTTTTGGGAAGCAAATGAAGTTTGGCTTTCTGATCACTTCCAGCAAGCAAAATGAGTTGTGTCATTAGTGAAGGTCTCAAACTGTTGGGTTTAATGTTCATATTCCTCTCTTTCTCTTCTCTCCCCTCAGTTCTCTCTGCATCCAGTGACAAAAGGCTCTATATGGGGGAGATCCAGTGAAGCCAAGGAGGAGATGGTGGGATCCATGCCCTCAGGATCCTTGCATGGACTCAGTTCCCTCTGGTGCCAGTCCCCATCACACTCCTGGCAGTGGGAAATGAGTGTCCTCGTGCAGGACGGGCCATCCTGAGGTCTCACTGTGCAGCTTTTTCCACCTCTCCTTTCTCTGGGGAGAAAGGAAGGTTTGGAATTGAATTTGGTTTTGGCTGTGCCAGAGATGATTCAACCCTCACCCATGTTCAAGGCCAGACCTGTCCTGTGTGTTCCCTATCCTGTTTCTCTTGGGTTTTTGATACAGTTGCAACTGCAATAAATGGCTTTTTACACATCTGTGTCCCTTCAAGTTACTGCTCTGTTCTGCAGCACTAAAGCAAGGTCCTCACCTGGAGAAAATAAGAGAGGTTCACCTCATGAAATCATGGAATGGTTTGGGTGGGAAAGGACCTTAGAGATCATCTCATTCCACATCCTGCCCTGGGACACCTTCCTCTAGCCCAGGTTGCTCCAAGCCCCATCCAACCTGGCCTGGAACACTCCCAGGGATGGAGCAGCCACAGCTTCTCTGGGCCACCTGTGCCAGTGCCTCAGCACCTCACAGGGAAGAATTCCTTCCCAATATCCCACCTAACCCTGCCCTCTGGCAGTGTGAAGCCATTCCCTCTTGTCCAAAGTCTCTCTCCCAAATCCAGGGAAGCTCAGCTTCACCAGGTCTTTGGTCCCTTCCAGCTGGTGAGGTCCATCT